GGGTTTGAACCACCAGCCTTCTGGTCAGCAGTCAAGTGCCTTAGGCACTATGTGACCAGAACTCCTAAAACATTATATAGTACACTCAATATTGTTTACAATAATTTTCATGATAGCATATTTATCTGTAACAAAAATACAGTTAAAATAGCCTATCACATTGATTCCAATCTGTTTCTGGGGAGTACAGTGAAACAGCTATGTGAAACCATACATTTATGATAACATACCATTCATTTCTCATGTGTGCTTTAGTTTGTGAATACAAAATGCTATTGGATTGTCTGAGGTAGGATTGATTGGGCCATATCTAAACATCTGGTTTATCTATAACATCATAGTACAGAGGAGGGTAGAAATGAGATGTTTATGTATGTGCAAAATTGTGATTTTTGTATCCATATTACTTGTTAATTTTTGCTGTTATTCTAATTATCTCACAGTGCCTATTGCCAGTTTACATTTATCTATATATCTTTTCTTATATCTTTCTATATAGACAAACATAATGCAAAATAATCTAATTATTTTAACTATATAAATATAATTGGGCAATCCTACTTCCGTAGTGATACTGCCTCAGAAACCCAAGAAGGGGTCGCTATGAGTCAGGCCCGACTCGGCACACAACAACAACAACAACATATAAATATAAATTGAGTGCATGTTAAAATAATGCAAACTCAATACATTAATACATGAAACTAAACATTCACTTCATGGTTTAAACCCAGCAAGGGTGTGTGTCAGGGTTTCATTCTTTCATCATATTTATTCAGTCTGTATGCTGAGCAAATAATCTGAGAATCTGGACTATATGAAGAAGAATGCAAAATCAAGATTGGAGGTAGACTCATTAACAACCTGAAGTATGCAGATGACATAACCTTGCTTGCTGAAAGCGAAGATGACTTGAACCACTTACTGTTGAAGATGGCTTACATCTTAATATAAAGAAAGTGAAAATCTTCACAATTAGACCAGTAAGCAACATTACAATAAACAGAGAAAAGATTGAAGTTGTCAGGGATTTCATTTTACTTGGATCCACAATCAACACCCATGGAAGCAGCAGTCAAGAAATCAGATGTTGTATTGTACTGGGCAAATCTGTTGCAAAAGATCTCTTTAAAGTGTTTAAAAGCAAAAGTGTCACTTGAAGACTAAGGTGAGCCTGACCCAAGTCATGGTATTTTCAATTACCTTATATGTATGTGAAACCTGGACAAAGAAGACTGAAGAAGAATCGATGCATTTGATTTGTGGTGTTGATGAAGAGTATCGAACATACCATGGATTGACAGAGGAATGAACAAATTCTAGAACAGCTGGAATATGCTTCTTAAGGATGAGGATGGCCAGACTTCACATCCCATACTTCACATTGTCAGAAGGGGCTGTTCCTGAAGAAAGATAGTCCCCTGCCTGGAAAGTCCGTTCTCATCTCACTCCTAGATTCCTAGTTTCTTTCTGGACACATTTACCTTTTTCTTTTTTCCAGTCTAAATTCATTACTTCTCACAGACTTACTTTCTTCCAGTCAGTGAAAAAGAAGAAGACCCCAATGAGATGTGCTGACAAAGAGGCTGCAGCAACGGGCTCAAGCATAGCAAGGATTGTGAGGATGGCACAGGACTGGACAGTACTTCACTCTGTTGCATTAGGGTTGCTATGAGTTGGAATGGATTCAACAGCAACAAACATGTAAAATTAAGCAAAGATTTGGATTGATTGATGATCTCATCAAATTAAATGTTTGCTTTAGTGTGATAAAATAATAATATTTTAATACTTTCCATTTATTGACTGGCAACTCCTTACATTCTTATTTCCTAATTAAATGATCTATTCATATGGTAGAAATTATTCTTCACATTTTTCAGATGAGAAAATCTGAGCCTATAGTAACTGGAAAACTTTCCCAAGGTTACTCAAAAGAGGAGTTGACCCTCCCTCACGAGCATCCTGTTTCTTTGGATTCTATTACTGCCATGATGTTTCATTCATTAGCAGTCAGAACACTTGATTCCTTGCACTGATTTTATCATTTAGTAGCCCTGTACATTTGAATAAGTTATTAACCCTCTCTGAGCTTCAGTTTCTTTATCTGCACAAAAGGAAATGAAGATAACAACACTATGATTGAGACTAAGTTCCACAGTCCTCTGGAACTCATGTGAAAACCAGGCACCCCAGGAGGGGGGTCTTGGGAAGGATCTTTTTCTTCTGGTTTCAGTATTTGAAGGATAACAAGATTCAGTATCATGTACAACTCTGTAATCATGTACAGTAATAAATTCTCTAGCTAGTTTGCATGTACACATGCATTTTGCAAGGCATGGGGTATACAGAGGGAAATCATTAATCCTGGGGACAGAGCTAGGATCACCTGAGTCAGTCTGGAAGTAAAGGAGGCTGCGTGGAGTGAGAAGTATTGAATTTATACTTGAAAACTGAGGAGGAGGTGGTGATATTCAGGAAAAAAATTGTGGATCTGGAGTGGAGTGAAGAAGAGCTTTCTAGTCAGGGGGATCAATTTGTGCAAAGGTGCAAAATTGATAAGGAAAATGGCACTCAGGGCGATTACAAGCTGTTAGGCTTTGTTGGAGTCAATTTGTTCCCCCTACCTGGAAAGTCCTTTCTCACCTCACTCCCAGATTCCCAGTCTCTTCCTGGACACACTTACCCTCTTCTTTTTTCCAGTCTAAATTCAATATTTCTCACAGACTTGCTTTCTTCCAAACATTCAGGTGATCCTAAGCCTGTACCAGGAGTAATGACTACTCTTTGTATACTTATACTTTCAAAATGCAAGTAGATTGTAGAACTGGTGGCAGACTGGCTGAGCTTACCATGCAAGGCTCTTCTGCTGAGAATGGAAATCTATAGTTTACTCTGTAGGCCATGAAAAGTATTCATGAATTAAACAAGAAAGAAAGTCTAAATTCCTTGACCATGGAAATGGAAGTCTACATTCTTGTAAGAATGTGGATAGAAAGAAATAAAGAAAGGGACAATAAAGAAATAAAGACTAAAGGATTAATAAAGAGTAAAGAAAGGGACAAAAGTGGCAACATTCATATGCAAGTATTGCTAGGAGTTAGAAGAAGAAAATGGAAAAGAGGATATAGTTCTTTATCATAGTTAGGGACTAAAGGACATGGCTCAGTGCATGATTGGGTGTGCAAAAGTGAAGACTGTTAGAACATTGCTTGTTCTTGCTTTATTTCCTTGGTTCAAAGGCTTAGAATTAATTAGCCTTTCATTTAGAAGTTTGGTACAAAGTAAAGGTAAGGGAATATTCTGGTCTCAGATGAGATACTTTATTTTCTTCTGAAGCACACTACGTTTTTCTTACATCTTTCTTGCTAACTTTAAAGGAAGGAATAAGGGAGACTGGACTATCTCCATTGCAGGTGATACAAAGGGAATAAGTTTAGGAGATTGGGCAAAATACAATGAAAACCAGCTCTGATTAAGACCTCAGGGACAATTCCTTGGAAGCATTATCACTTTCATTTTCTTCTGGGCTCACAGTAACAAAATCAATGCATGTGTTATTTACAGCTGACATTGTCAAGAGACAGAGATAAGAGATTTCCAATGCTTATAGGGGGAGAAAATAGGGACACAGAGAGGCTAAATTGATTTCCTTGAACCCTGTTGCCCCTCAGTGATACTTTATCTATACGGTTTAATGTTAATTCCATGAAACAGGGCAATCTACTTTGATATGGTGCACCTCCCCAGCACCTTCTTCAGAGCACCCACCACCTCCTTGTTCCTCAGAGTGTAGATAAGGGGATTCAGCATAGGAGTAAGGATGGTGTCAAATATAAAGAGAGCCTGGTTCAGGATAGGGGTATGAGAGGATCCAGGCCTCATGTATATCAGCATGGCTGGACCATAGTAAAAAGTGACCACAGTCAAATGAGAAGAACAAGTGGCCAGAGCTTTGTTCCTCCCCTCAGGTGAGTTCATTCGTAGGACCACAAGGAAAATGAGGGTGTAGGAGGTCAAAATGAGACTCACGGGGAGAAGAACGACAACAATGCTGGTCACTACCACACCTCTCTCATAGACAGAGATGTCCTCACAGGACAGCTTCAAGATGGCCTTGACCTCACAGAAGAAGTGGTGGAGCTCCCGGGGCCCACAGAGGGGAAAGTGCATGGAGTAGGCTGTGTGGACCAAAGATGCTAGAGCCCCTCCTACCCAGGATCCAATCGCCATCTGCTGGGAGACCTGGTAGTTTATAATGATTGGGTATTTCAGAGGGTGACAGATGGCCACAAAGCGATCATAAGCCATGAGGGTCAGGAGGAGGCACTCAGCAATACCCAGAGTCAAGGTGAAGAAGATCTGGGTCCCACAGCCAATCAGGGAGATGTTCCTCTTTCCAGAGAAAAAGTTGACTGCCATTTTGGGGACTGTACTAGAGATAAAAGCCAGGTCAATTATGGAGAGTTGGCTAAGCAAAAAATACATGGAGGTGTGGAGGCAGGGATCTACCCAGATAAGGAGGATCAGGGTGGTATTTCCTGCAATGGCGATTGTGTAAATCAGGAGGATAATGAAGACAAGAATGCTGATATGTCTTATCCCAGGGAAAAGGCCCAGAAGAATGAAGTCTGTTTTCAACGTCTCATTTGCTGTCTCCATGGTTTTTCCTTATTAGATTCACCTGAAAAATATTGGAAACTTTCAAAATACATGTATATATACAGGAGACAGGGGAATTAATCTGGTTCATAAAGTATAGTAACTGATTCCAGCCAGGAAAGATGTTTTTTTTTTAGGAAACTGAGAATATAATTCTCTCTGCTTCATAAAGATGTTGAAATCACAAAATGGAAAGTAATAATTAGTGCATAAGAAATGCCACCACTAGTCAGTCACTTTGTCATACTGTGGTGGCTTGCATGTTGCTATGAAGCTGGAAGTTATGCCACTGGTATTTCAAATACCATCAGGGTCACTCTAGACTAAGATAGACTATGAAGTAAGTCTTGCCAATCTACTTCCTGAAATTAGCCAGTGAAAACCTTACAGATCACAGCAGAGTATTGTCTAATATAGGGCTGGAGGATGAGCCCAAACATATTGATGATCATGAAGATGGTACAGGACTGTTATTCTGTTATTCATAAGGTCATTGTGAGTTGGAGCCAACTTGAAGGCAACTAATAACAACAACATAGAAAATGTCACATTAGCTTTTCCTATAACAAATTCTCTTTGTGTCTTCACTTTTTCTACTCCTTATGTAATTCTACTATTGATAATACAGAGAATTCTTAGTATTCGTGTACTTTTCTACTATTCATGATTGTATTCAAAGAAATATTAGCATAGCACAAGGAACTCTTTAATACAACAGCTTTGACACAACTGCTTTCCACAATTCAGATAAAACATGAACTAAGTATGTCTCCTGAAAAACATCAATTATAATTTATGGACCATCAATATCAGGTATTTAACTTGATGTTGAAATTCCCTCAGGGCAGGACCATTATATGCTCTGATACACTCTAGGGCCTCAATAACATTTGCAGAATGAGGTCTGTTAGTTTTCCTATAACAAATTGTGTTCAGAAATTCAACAAGAAAGAAAGTCTAAATTCTGTATTTTCAAGAAAAAGGATAATAATGAACACATTTTTAAAAGTTGACATTTATATTCACAGCATTTCAGCTAACTTAGGTGGAATTTTATTTCATCTATATATAAAGAAACAAGGAACTTCCTTAAACTATTTTATGGCTTCCACCTTGTTGTCTTTTGCCTTTCTCCCCTGCCAGCCAGATTCACGAGAGAAAGGAATGACTAAACATCTAAGGGAAGTACTTTCTATCAGTTTCAGGAGTGTTTCATGCAAGTGAAATTTTTCATTGACCCCAAGAAAGGACCATGAACACCAAAAGTATCTGCTCTGAGGTTACCCGAATCACTCAGTCTTACCAGGTTGCCTTATTCTGCTAATAACTAGCACTTACCATACTGTCTCAATCTGCTAATTGTTTTCTGACTTTACTGTTGTTCTTAAACTTAAGTGTGTACCAGAGCCACATTGGATTCTTGTTAAAAGTGCAAACTTCAAGCTCTGTGCTTTGAGATGAGTACAAGTAGGGTGGACTCCAGAAAAAAATGCATTTTTAAGAAGAGTCCAAGTGAATTGGATGCTGGTGACTTGGGCCATTCTGTGAGAGGGCCAGGGCCAACTTTGGCCCAAGATATAGGGCTTTCTAGTCAGTAGTGACATCTATGGGTTCCTAGCCACATAGACAAATGCATTAATAATCATCTTCTATAATTTCTCCTAAGTGAATAACTAACTGTACTGAATGGCTTTTTTTTAAAAAAAACTTTTTGTTGTGATTTAGTTGAAAATTTACAGAGAATGTTGGTTTTCCATTCAACAATTAATCCGCATTTCATTTTGTGAATGATTGCAAGCTCCACAATGTAACAGCACTCTTCCCACTTCTTCCATGTGTTTACCATATCCATTAGTCCTTTTTCTCTATTCCATCCTACCTTTGGAGTTTTATTCCTGGGCATATTCTGCCCTTTGATTTCAAATGTTTGATTATTCAAATGGTTGATTATATTTTAAGAAATGCATATGCCCCAGTGTTGTTGTTCACCTTCTAGGCCTGTCTATCCTTTGGCTGAAAATTGAGCCTTGGGGGTGAGTTCAATCTGATCGGTACCTCTTGACACCTACAGAACTCTGAGCCTAGTGGCCACAGTCAGTAGCGGAATAATTACTGTTGTTCTAACTGTAATTATTATTCAAATTGATCAGCTGAAAGCTCTCTATGAAAGAATGATAGTATACATCCTGAAATATATACATTTCATGGATGATCAGGTGATAAAATGCTCTGTTTCAAATTGAGAATCTCACTCTCAATGGAAATTGTTCCTCAGAGTTGAATAAATTTAGCCACTGAATGAACTGAGTGCTATCTTGCTTCAGTGAGTACTCTTAATAAACCATGGGACTGGAAAAACCAATCATTAATTTCACATGGAAAGGAAAGACACTTGAGATAAGCAAAGAATTACTGAAGAAGAAACACAAAGTAAGAAGTATCACACTTCCAGATCTTGAAACCTACTATACAGCCATGGTAGTGAAAACAGTGTGGTATGGTTGGGAAGATGGCGTCTTACCTGTAGCCCACATGTTAGTACCCTCTGGCATTTTAGTGGCTGAAAAACTAGATGGAGCAATTTGAAGTGGGGATTCTGGCACTCTGAATAGCTCATTAAGTCAGATTATGCCAAACTCAGGGGAGCAGGATTAAGGAGGGAGAGGCAGTGCAGTTAGACAGAAAGAATAAAAATAGGTGAACCTGCCCTGTGGAGCACCAACTGGCCAGAGAGTTGGGGCGTCAGAGGGCTCCCTAGGGCAATGGAGAGAATGTACTAGAGGACGTGTGACCACTCCACAGATCAACCTTCAGCATCCTCTTTAATCAGTAAACTTGGGACCACTGGGAGGGAGCAGAGACCCCTCTGGCTCCAGGTGTTGCTGAATTGGGAGCAGAAAGGAAAGAATGCTGCAAGTGGGACAAACTCATGGCA